TGCTCGATCTTTACTTGCAGACACGTCAAACATCGTTCTACATATCTWGCGATATCCTTCTTCAATTCTGGCTACCAATAAAATGGTTTTTAATTTTTATACATTTTATTAGTACCTGGATGAATCGAATACCGTGATTTGTGACTCTCATCCAAAATTAGATCTTGCGCATTCCCAAAACTYGGTACCCAAATTATGTTCTAAAAACATAGAATTCTTTTGTCATTCTTTGTCAGGGTCGATATTATTCTGCCAATTCTTTCGGCTTTGAAGTTCTTTTCTCTGGTAGCTTCATTTTGACATCTTAAAATTTCATCATAAAGATCCGGAATGAAATTTGTTCTCAACGCAACTGTTTTGATCGTACCACTTCTTTCTTTCTAGCTAAGAGCAACAACTACCACAGGCCTTTCCAGGATGATAAAGAATTTCACAATCATAGTCGTTAACCAATTCAATACATCGTCGTTGTCGCATATTCAATTCTTTATGATTAAACAAGTGTTGAAGGCTTTTATGATCCATGAAAATCCGACATTAATGATCAAAAAAGGTGGTTACTAAGTAGTTAAATCGTGGCATAAGTTTAATAAACAAGATTTCAAGGGCTAAAATGCTAATTCCAAAACCTCTTTAAAAATGCCGTGATCCTTTTTTTCTGACCCACCCCATGACGCAGGTATATAAAGTTCCATACCCACCCACTAGGTCATTTATTTGGTTTCCTTCACCATGAGAGAGAAAGAACGTGAGAAATTAATGAACGAGAAACGGAGAATCCTTCGGACCGATTCACATTCACTTGATAATATGGTAAGCAGATGTTCTCGATTTTCCTCTAAATTTCTTGCAATTGGTTTTTACTTTGCTTACTGAGATTTGATTTTGCATGRCGTGCTTATCAACACACTATCTGATAGGGTCTTATTGAATCGGGAGTTTTCTATGATTTGAGTTACTGTAACATCGTAAACTTATTGATATGAATGTTGAACGTAATTCTAGCAGCATAATGTGAAGTGTATTACATTCAAGTGTTCTTGCTACTATGCATCAATACTYTATCATGGTGATATAGAACTTGTCCATCTCTATTTACAAATGGTATTTGGGAGTTTGGAATTCGAGATCTGCATATGGATCTTGAAATCCTTTAGTTTAAATTTTGATTTGGGATAATGTTTGTTGGAAACATCAGAAGTTGATACTGATGATTTAAGCTACTGGAAATCTTTTAGTTTATACATCAATAGAGGAAATGGATCCTGTAACTGACTCCTTGTTTGCTTTGTACAAAGTGCAATTTCATTTCTCTCTATGTTATTTCATATTGTTTTGTGTTATTTTAAATTACTTGTTATGATGCTATGTATGTAGTGTATTGGTTTTGATTTGAAATTCATAGTCTTCACTAAATGAAGGGTCACCGAATATCATGTGGATGGAATCCAGTTTGACCTTGCAAGTGTTCTTTGTCGAGGAACAGATAGCTCTCCACTTATCAAGGTAAGTTAGGCACTCCTATTTTAACAAGAAAAAATATATTTTTCCATTTCATTGATTTCGTATCCTTATGTAATTGTAGGGTAAGTCTCTACAACATACATATCAATGTCTGAGCTACTCTTCTTGTAGATCTGATTCYTTTGTACATTCCCCAWATAGAAGTTGTTGAAATCTTATAAACAAAAGAGAATAATTTGGGCATGCAAAATCCTTGGCCATTATTTTCACTCAAACAAGAAATGACCAACAATTGGATGGGATCCTTTCTTGTAAAAATGGAGGAGCTCCTAAAAATGGTATTTGTGTTATCTTGTACCTTTTTGGCTCTTTCTTTCTAGTATTTTGCATTTTTAGATTTATYAAGACTCATATTTTTTTCATTGTTTTTTATAGCTTTAAATTTATTTTTGTTTCTACAACTTTCTGTAAGTCCATAGGTAAAGGAGCCTTTATAACGGGGCTTGGTTCTTGATAGTCCTTCTATAASGGTTCGTGATCGATTACTAGAGGGTCGAAATAGGACTTGTCAAGCGCAACTAGTTATGGAAATTTTATTGTGATCACTCCAGATCCAATAACAAGAGATATTGAGGCCTCCTTCACTATTTTGTACATACAAGTAGGTTTTATATTAATTAACAATAGAGGTTGCTCTTTTGTATCCTTACTTGCTTTGCTTTGTAAGATGCATTGCCTTGTAATTGTATGTACTGTGGTTGTTATATTTTTTCGAGTCCAAGATTTAAGATGTTAATTAGAGTTATTTGGAACCACTAGATCAGAAATTAACTTATAATCTGGACTTCTGAAATGCATACAGAATAAAACATGTATATCTTTATATTAATAGTAGTTGATATGTTTGGTTATTATATGGCTATGCTCATTTGCTCATTTTATGTCTGGGTATTACATGGCCGTTGATATGTTTGGTTATTATATGGCCAAAATTAGTTGAGAACGTATGCTAACTTTCCGCCTATTTCCAACACCAAATTTAGAACTTTATTGTTAATGGATTTGGTAGTACCGTATTACTGAGTAAAGAGTTTTTTCTTTTCTTTTTTCTGCCAAATACATGTGTAAAAGTACAAGACTCTTATTTGGTGTTGTAAGAGCTCTATCATCTATACTACTTATAAAGCAGAAAGCCCCAAAATCTTAAAGTCTTAAGTTTTTTAATACCCAAAATACCCTTGCACGCCTCCCCTCTTCCAAAATTCCTTTACACCCTCCCCTCCCCAAGATCCTCTTCCCCATGAGCACTCTTCCTTTGCCCCAGGAGCACTCTTCCTCAATCCAGCTGAGTTCGAGAAGGATTTCCATCCATGGCGTCACTGCATGATACCGAAACTAAAAATCCTTCTCTTTACAGTCGAAAAGAGAAATCTCTCGGCGTTTTATGCTCCAAGTATTTACTCATTTTAACATTTCTCTTTACACCTTCACTGTTTAGATCTTTGCTTCATATATAACGATTTGAGATTGAATATTCTTCAGTTTCCTAAGGTTGTATAATCGAGATGGTGTTGAATCGATTGGATTAGACAACGCGGCAAATCAATTATACTGAAGAAAAGAAACAGAGGATTAAAGGATCTTGGAAACTACAGGTGTTGAGAGGCGGCGAATTTACGACATTGTTAACATATTAGAAAGTGTTGGGGCAAGGTTTTTGACTCTTTTCGCCATACATCTTTGTGTTGTTTTGAGTTTCTGATGAATAGGTGTGTATATTGTATAGTCGTTTTAGGGTTTTGTTTGTTTTAATTTTGTCTAATTTTCAGGTTTTGACAAGGAAAGCAAAGAATCAGWATAYGTSGAAGGGTTTTAATGCAATTCCATATGYGTTGGAAGAGCTTAGGGTATGYTTAAATACATGTTTATGATCTTAATCTGTTTGTGTTGGTATGATGAATCAAAACGTTAACATGGATGATTGGATTCTGAAATTTTGTATGTGCATTCACTTCTAGAAACAGGCATCTAATGAAAACTCTAGAGGATCACAATACTGCAGCTTTGGAACCGTAAGTTCTCCATGTTAAAACTGAGGGTTTTCTAAATTCTCACATGTTTGAACCGTAAGGGGTGGGGTTACTTTGCCCAAATACATAATAGATTCAGGTTTGAATCCCTTCTCTTGTCTTTGCCGGCGAGTTATCTCACGATATGTCTCCTCATATGTCGTGCCCATGGGGGAGTTGTATTGGTAATCAACTTTTTGCCGAAATAGCATGATAAGACCAATTTATTAAAAGGGCAACATGATTTTCTTTAACCCATTGACATTTTGTAGCAATTGAACTGCAAGTTAGCTTGTGATGGGGATTTTGTTCAAAGTTTATTTAAAAACATGGATTTTTTTTGCAGGTTTTAAATGAGAACGATTGTCGTCGGCCTTCTAACTCAAACAACTCAAACACTGACAGACACCAAGGGGATTGAAGTGGTGCTTTTATTAGTYAACTTACTCTTGGTTAGTGAAGGCAAGTCAATTCTTGGATGATTAATAGGTCTCTGCAAATATGTGTTCGAAGGATACTTTTGAGCTAATATGGCCGTCTGTGGTGTGTAGTTCAATGAGGAAGGTGAATGGGTTAATAGTAATAAGTTTCATGTATATATGCTTAACTTCTCTGAAAGTTTTTACACCTGAAGTCGACAGCTTTGCACATTTGGACTTGCTCTAGATGGGTGACTTTGCACTTGGTTTAAATTGACTGCTCTTCGCAGTAGCTTCGGAACATATACATAAACATTCATGAGAGATGCTAGCTATATGAGGTGGCGAAAATGACATTTGATGGTTCAAAACAAACCTTTTACTTGTGCAGAAAATAACAACCGAACAGCCCTTTACTTGAGATTTCATTTGAACCCATCCCCCTCTTCAAGTCTAGATAATCAAATTTAAATGATCAGATGTTGGGACTGGACAATAATTTTTTATGGCAAACTTCTACTGTAGAAATAAATTGCACTTGCTCTCTGTTCAGTTTTTTTAGAAGTCCCTTTATTAATAATGAAAGGGTGTTTAGAAAATGAAATTGATTTATGATAAAGAAGAAAAGCACTTTTAGGACCCAACACCACACCCTCATGGAGGATTATCCTATGCTCTGTATGCTTGAGAAATGTGAACTTCTAAGCCCAAATTTTTGTTTTTGCACAATAATTGGATCCACATTGAATTTAACTAAAATTAGAGCGTCTGCAGTTGCATCTCCTTTTGTACTATGGCTTATAGTTTTCTGTACCACAAAAGCATAGCGGTTGGTGATACTCTACACGGTGTCATATTCATGCATTCCTAGCAGAGGGTACATATACATGAGGTTTCAGAACTAAACCCCTAGCCACATCATATCTGGCCTATATCTATGTCCCAATGTGATCATAGGAGAGAACTGACTACGCATTTGGTTATTGAAGTTGGGTACTTTGTGAGCCGAGTTTCCGAATGGACATTATGTGGCCATCAGCATCAGAAGTCATGGCAAGAAATCAATAGCTGTGACCTCATGTTGAGAGCACATTTCTGCAAGTGCTTTTGTATTGGAAATCCCTTCATTTTAGAAGTGGTAGGATAGTGTACCTATTAAGAAACAAATAAAAGCAGAAGGCTTCCTGTTTCTCCATGATGATTTGCACTTTAGATTTACTTTAACATCAAGTTGACAAATAAATGTAGAAGGCTTCATGATACCTTCTTTTTCATTTATGACCCTACTATAGGAAATCCTCTCATATGCTTCATTGCTTTATAGATTTTGTTATGAGTTTACTTTCCTCACGTACCCAACTTCAAAGGATGGTTTTTCACTAAGCCTTTGGCACCCTGATGTGTAAATGTATCTCGCTGGTATATCATATCAGTCTCTTTTTGAGGATTATGTAAGTTCTTAAACTTGGTCTTTTATTGTTAATGGTTCATTGATTGAGATCGTTTACATTTACTGCTCCCGCCGCATTGCGCGGGTAAACAACTAGTAAATTGTGAAATGGTGGTTAGAGTGCAAGGAATTTATCATGTATTGATTAGCACACAAATGACTTTCATTATATGAAATATGTGAATCATATAACCTTAATGAAAGTGAAMATATTGGTTATAATATTGGGTGTACAAATAGAAGGTTGTTTAATAATTTTTAAACRAGGTATTTGGTTTTTTTGTAGCATGTCAACAAATAGATACGATACAATTATTGTAATCAATATATTCTTATATAATAATAAAAACTATCTATTACAAATATTATTTGCAACTGTACCATGTGTACCACTCTATTGATTGAGTGGTAAATTGGGAGTTTCATTATTGCACGGTTACAATTCACATCCGCTTGTAGATCATCTTTCAACAATATAGAAAAGGGATTACAATTTAGTACGTTTTTAAGTTTGAATCTTGATCTTCTAAATTGGTTTTTGCAGGGTACGAGTTCCAGACGCAATATGGGTTGATTGGGTGCAACAATATTGATATGCACCAACAAATGAGTGATTGCTTGCACTAGTGATGCGAGATTGGCAGTTTCTAGATATGTTTCCTAACTACATTTGAACTAAAATCAAAATCAAAATATTTATGGATAATAATAGAGGTTACTTTTTAAAATATATCAGACAATGATGCGGTATGGACAAATCGCCATCATCATCCTTAGGAACAATGGTGGTTACAGCATTGAAGAAGAGATACATGAAAGACATTTAGAACACAACGATTTTGTTTTTATGATTATACCAATG